GGTCAAGACCTCAGCTGAGATTGAGAGTCAGATGCTTAACCTACTGCGCCACCCAGGTATCCCTACAAAGTGATCTTTAAACAGTAAACTGTATATAACACTAATAAACAAAATCCTCTCAAAACAAAATGAAAACTTTCACACAAAAAGTACCCTTCAAGAAGGGCAATGGCAGAGCCATCATTAAGTTTTAAATTCCTTTTCATTCCCCTGTAATACTGTGACATTCGGAGGCAAATTTGACCTCTAGTTTTATTATAAAACATATGATCACAGGGAAAAAAAAAAAAAAGCTTGTATTCTAGTGACTTCATCCTTTCAAACCAAGGAAAGTTAAAACCCGAAAGAACTTACATAGCAAGCTTATTTTTAAATTCTCTTTTATTAAATTCTGATGTATTGCCTTCAAATAAGCCAATTTTGGGAAATTTGAAGAACACCTGCAGAGAAAATCTATATCCTTTGTTAAAAACAGACAAGTACTAGCTTATTAAGAAAGAGCCTTTCATGTTTTCAGACCACCTCTATTGAAAAAGTTCTTTTTAAACTTCAAAAATACTGTTTTTAAATAAACAAAACCCTTCCTGTTCTCTAATCTTTAAAACACTGAAAACTCATACCAAATTGTTTATAAAGATAGTCTAAAGATTTCCCCCTTTTTAATTTTTTTTTCTTTTTTTGAGACAGTGGACAAGCGTGTGTACACGCATGTGAGCAAGGATGGGGGGGGGCAGAGAAAGAATTGTAGGCAGGCTTCACACCCATTGCAGAGCCCAACATAGGCTCAAACTCATGACCCTAACCTGAGCTGAAATCAAAAGTTCCATGTTTAATCCAGTGAGCCACCCAAGCACCCCATTTGTTTTTTACCTTTTCCCCCTCCTTTTCAATATTTAATCATAATTTCCTTTGAAAATGATTTGGAATCAATTTAAGTCCACAAATAAGAACTTTATTTTTATTAGTTTTAGTTAAAACTGGTTATTTGTTATAGGTGTTTAAAATCTGAAATGCTGGGGCACCTGTATGGCACAGTCAGTTAAGCATGTGACTCTTGGGTTTCAACTCAGGTTGTAATCTCAGGGTCTCAGGACTGAACACCATATGGGGCTCATCTGCTTGAGCTTCTCTCTCTCCTTCTGCTCTTCCATCTCCCAAACCCCCAACCCGCCACCCTCTCTCTAAAATAAATAAATATGTTTTTAAAAAATGTGAAATATAAGTCTTTTTTCTAAACAAATTGATCCACATCTCACGTTTCCTTGTTTGATTAAAACATTACCCTGCCTAGTAGTTTAGTTTTATATTTTTCATTTTAGGGGCACCTGGGTGGCTCAGTGGGTTGAGCCTCTGCCTTTGGCTCAGTTCATGATCTTAGGGTCCTTGGATCAAGCCCCACATTGGGCTCTCTGCTGGGCAGGGAGCCTGCATCCCCCTCTCTGCCTGCCTTCCTCTCTGCCTACCTGTGATCTCTCTCTGTGTCAAATAAATAAATATAATCTTTAAAAATATATAAAAAAATTTTTTCATTTTATTTACTTTTAATATTCCTTTCATATTTTTGCATTCTCAGAAATTCGGTTACTACTGATAAGGATCAGAGTTGACAAGACTATGTCAGATATCAAAAGTTATCTGTTCAGCATTTTAAAACTGTTAATTCCAAATGCCTATTTATGTAAGAAATCAAATAAAAGTTCCTAAATTTAATCATAGTTTCTTTTTGATACAGTAATGTATACCATATACAATTCCATTTTTACTGACTGGAGAGAGAAGCTGGGGTGGGAGGAAAGGAAATATCACTTAACACATAATAAAAGTGAACATTAGCCCTTGTGTGAACATCTTGGGGAGATTTTCATTTTTATAGAAATCTTCACTTACCTCTAAGCTCAAGCTGACTTAGCTCCTAAAGGAGTAGGTTTGTGTCAAATCAGAATTACTCCTTTTGGTGTTGCTTTCCCTCTTTTGAAACAGTGACCCATTTTATGTTGTTCTGTTTGGTTAACACGCGCTTCTTCCGGATGTCCTGTCCATGTGAGAAGTGAAGGGAACTGCTTTACAGCAGAGTGTCCCTCTTGGGAGGTAAATGAAATAGCTCACACAAGCTACAGTTTACATCTTCTTCAAGAAAGATGGTCTGTGGTTCCTCAGTCCTCCAAGGTGATCAGAGGAAAAGTATTATAGATTTGGTGTAACCTTCCCCATTTTTGGAAGATATATAAAATACAATCTTTCCAACAATACAATATATTGCCTACTCTGCACCAGACATTGAGTACTATGGAAGATATCATCTGACATATGGTTCCTGCAGTCCACAAGGACATTTACGAATAACCCAACGTTCAGCAGGAAATTACAAGTATCCTAGGAACTATGAGTTTAGGAGAGATTACATCCAGCTACAAGTGAAGCTCGGTGGAGTGGGGACAAGTTCAGTGGTAACTTCACAAAGGATATGCTAAGATAGGATAGGGCAGGGACTCTTGGAAAGGGGAAAAAAGGATAAACTATAAGCCTCAGAGCATGTTTCAACCTCTTTAGGGCAGAGAGCATGTGGAAAAGGAGCTTTAACAATACCTGAAGTCAAAAGATTTTGACAACAAGCATAACAATAATCAAATAGGTCAAAACTAATGCACCAATATTTTACCTCTGAAGCAAATCACTGAGTCTAACCATAAGAAACTTACGTGCAAGGAAACTTGATAAACTGAATGAAGTGAAATTACTGAAGCATACTAAAAACAACACACACACATTCATACAGAAAGAAGAAATCCTTTTTCTTTTTTTTTTTAATCATGCTGAGGTGTGAGGAAAATGTTAATTTAGACTACACCTTTATTAGTTTGCAATTATCATAGATTTCTTTTAAGGCATCAGTGTAAAGCTACATGGTGATTTCCTGGGCATTATGTTCTTAAACCTACATATGACACAGTAATGTGACCAGCTGCAGTTCCCTTCCTGCATTTCAGAAGCTCTGCGTGTCCAAACATTTGCCCCTCTATATAACTTCACACAAAAGACGCAATTGCCCAAGAAGCCTCCACCATGGTATGTATTCCCCAAAGTTCAAGATCTGCCATTTAATTACAATTCAGCCATGAAACCTCATCTACTTTAGCATATTATACCAACATAAAACAAATCAAATTCCAATCCTAGTTAATAAAGGTACTCCTACAAAATGCAAAAAGTATATTCTTATAAATGAAGAACTGAAGTATGTAACCTATATTTTTAAAGAGACCTATTCTACTCCATTAAGATAATTTTTAAAATTTCCTAAAAGAGTTACTATTTCCTCATAATCTTACCAATTGGAAGAAAACCCAAATGCAAACTTGTTATAGCACACAGAGATTTAACTGTATTTCCAAACTTCCCCATTTAGCATTTCATGCAAACTGCTAACTGAAAATCAAGAAGAATGAATGTTTTCAACGTCTGGTACATACAGGTTGACATGACTTACAACAATGATTGTGAATTATACCTAAAGAATGATCTTAAATTCTGCTCTCTAAAAGTTAAGTCTTAAAGAAACATATGGTTCTGTCAGTTAGGTAGCTCTGTCATTCTAGTATGTAAGTTTCCGAAGGGAAAGAGGGAAAAAGTAATGAGAACACTTTAACAGCCTGGTTAATGCTTACCTTTCATAGGAAGTAGCATTTTACAAGAGGAAATGACAGCAAACTGAGCACTAGCCCATGTGTGAAAATCTTGGGAAGATTTTCATTTTTATTGAAATTGTTATCTACCTCTAGCTTCTCTCTCTTCCAGGTCTGGACATCTCTCACTGAAAGAGTAGTGGTTTGAATGACTAAACCTTAAGGTATTTCATTCAATAGCCACAAAGTAATAATGTTAAACTTGCAAAAATTTTAAAGATAGGAAGGCGCTTTCTTCCTTTTGATGGACATTTTTCTACAATACAACAATCAACTAAGAATGATGTAGAAAAGATTAGCATAAAACTCCAGTAGAGTGTAAATCAAAAGTGATATTTAGATTTTAAATCCCCATTCCTGTCCCGTAATGCTTTCATGTGACATTTAAGGGCTGGATGGCCAAAAAGGATCTCCAAAGGGATCTTTCAAATGACTTTTTTTCCCTTCAATGTCAAAAACCTTTTTAATTGAGAGTAAACTCTTTAAAGCAAGTAAAGAATTATCTGTCATAATTTAATAGTCAAGGAAAAAATTTGCTTCACACTGAAGTTAAAACTGCAAGAAACACTGACCATCTAAGCATAGCAAATGAATATGAATTATTTAACATTACTGTAACCTAAATAACCTAGTTCTAAGTAGTCACAAAAATCAATACTTATTTCATTGTCATTTATACAAAACAGACATATATATCACAAAGAGAGAACAGGGCCTCTAATCTCCTTTTAAAGGATGTGGTACTTTAAATTAAAAAAAAAAAAAAAAAGCCTGAAAGGCTACACTGAAATTCTTAACATTTATCTACAGAGGAGAACAGAATGGATCTGTGCTGGGAGAAGGGAGATTGTCAAAACAGTTTTTTAAACCAAGAAGTTACATTTTCAAGATTATATAACAAATTGTTAACTGGACAGTAAAAACATGGGCTTAGGTTTTTGTTTTGTTTTGAACACGAGTGTTTATCTTATTATTCTTCAATTAAAAACAAAATAAGAAAAAGGAAAATAATTATAAAGAACCACAAAGAAATACTTTTCATTGTCCTGAAGCTTATCAGGATGAACAGGGAACAGAGGGGTGGGAAAGAGGCGGCCCAGAAGTTGAAGGGAACAATGCCCAGTAAAATCTGAATGAATAAGGACAGGCTTTCCTGATGGCTCCAATGCCCTATGCATCCTAACAAAACTAAAAGGAGGTAATGGCAGTAGCAAAAGGTTTAGAGATTGATGGGGGAGGGGAAAGAGTGAGGAAAATGCAAAAACAGTTGCACACACTGAGTAAGGAATATCATCTCCAGAAAATATTAATACTTACCAGTATGTACTGTAGCTACTGCAATCCATACATACTGTATGCTGAGGTTTATCTTGCTTTTCTGATTTCTTATGATTAGTTAAGGGTACTTGTGCATCTTCATAATGTTTTTTTGCATGGCCATTCACATACCTTACAAAAACCAAATAAAATTTTAATCTACATATTGCTTTGGAAGTTAAAATAGCAGATGATAATAAAATTAGAATGAGAAAGAATTCCTCTTTATAAGAGCATTCAGTCCTATAAAGAGCATTCAATTAGTTAGTGATTAAGTGGAGTGCTTAAAATATGCTTTTTTGCAATCAAACATGACAGTCGACTTTTAATTATACAGAAGATTAGGGCCAGGCAAGGAAAGGCTCATCTATGCAAATCAGTTTCAATATCACAGATATTATCACTTATCAACCCCTTTGCTGATAGCTTTTTTCCTTTTTTTTAAGATTTTCTCAGACTGCTAACCAACTCAGGTTATTCTCAAAGGCAAGATTTGAAAACTAAATCACGCACAGACTGCACTTGGGCTACTGCTTAATATAAAAGGAGAAAGTCAGATAAGGAAACAGGCATAATCTTCTCTTTCTCATCAATATAGCTTCAGATATTTTATCCAACTGCCTAAATAATTATCTCCACTCATATGGAAACACATTTGTTTAGAAACATACAAAGTACAAATCATCTTAAGCTTATATAAACCACTTCTTTACATGGACAAAGATAATCAAAGGTTGACTCTATTCATAACAATTTTCTAACACTTTCCAACTAGACTTAATAAATCAGTACATTACAGGAAGCAGAAGGAAACTGAAATAATGCACAGGGGACACACCCAAGTTCCTCTAAACCTCCACTTAATTACTGTACGATGTTGTAACTGGCCAGTACTGTGAAGACCCTTACAAAACAGAACTTCCCAGTTCCTAGAAAGTAGAAAATTTACAGAAGGCAAAACCTTATTGAAAAGTCAGTCAAAACAAATGTTGGTCAAATGGTACCAAAATAAACATAGAGAGTTAAAGTAAAGTTTTGTTATGAGGCACCTTAATTATATCAGGAGCAACACTCACCTTGGGGAAAGCAGAACATCTGGGGTAAACAGGGAGGACAAACTTCAGGCCCAGCCTCTGCCCTAGGAAAGCTGGAAGCATGAGAGGCACTACTAACCTCAACTTAGATTTTGATCATATTTTTTCCCCATTTTATTCACTATAGTAAACATAACCAAAAACCATGTGTATATGGATCCTCTGTCCACAAAAGTAAACTAAAATCCATTTTAAAATAAAATAATGGTTAAGAGTATAAGCCCAAAAATTACACTGCCTGGGTTCAAAAGTAGCTTTGCACTTACATTTTCTCATCTGTAAGATGGAGATAATAGTACTTAGACTTCATGAGTTCTTAGCTGATTAAATTAAGAAATTCATGGATCTGAATGCATAAATGAATGAATGGATGTTGGTAATTACTTTATTCATGTATTCCTTTATATGCTTAATTACTATTTATTCAGAATTTGAACAATATAATTGTTTAGGAAGTGGTCATATTAAGCACATGTAGGTCAAGAAACACCCAAAACATAATTAAAAAGGTAAATAAACTCCAAGGCATTGTGTAGGTTCCATATCTAATCAGCTCAATTTCCTATGCTTATATAATTTATACTGTGCCATGAGAAACAAAAGTAGTAATTATAAGGAGCACTTTCAAAATCAAAGAAAAAGCAATACTAAACAATATAATCATAAGGCATCACTACTCTTAGGTCTTCAAAAACTGATCATCTGTACATAGTACATAGAGTTCATTTAATCACCACACTGTAGTCTCTAAATATATTAGATGTTTATTGTAAGCATTGCATAAAAGCAAGAAGTATATTACTGCTGATATTAATATTATATTATTGCTAATAATTAATATTATATTACTGCAATGTTTTGGCTAATATTCAAATACACCACTCAGAAGTTACCAATTATGTATAAACTGGATAAATATTTCCCTCATCTAATTTTAGATTTTAACTGAACAATTTGGTCTAAAAAGGAAAAGCATCAATATATATGCCACAGATTTCTAACCACAATCACAAGAATTTGAGAAATAAATGGGATGATGTTGTGAAGGTCAACGGAATATACAACCCAAATATGCTACTGATAAATTGAAGGAATATTCAGTTTAAGACTTTCTGCAGGAAACTGGTCTACAATTACTGAAAAATCAGAATCCCTGGCAATCAACACCCAGGATCACAGGAAAAAAGAAAATTAACCAATCAGCTATGTAAAAAGAAGATCCAAATACAAGCTACTCTCACTGTTTAATCTACTTAATCATATTTCTCTGAAACTATGCTGAATTTCTAAACTTAAGACTGCTTACAATTGGTAACAGACTACCTGCAGAGTCTAGAAATTTTTCAATTTATTTTTCCAAAACCTACTTAGAGAACTATTTGTCCCTTGCTATTAAGAACATTAACCTCTCCAATTTTTGAGAGTCTGTAAGGTCTTTTTGTTAACATATGACCTTCAAGATTTAGGTCGTAGAGCACTATGAGACAACTGGAGAACAGAACTATATAAATTTTATTGCATTATAATTCTCACCTCTCAAAATCTAGGAGAGGAATCTGTCTCTTCAAATGCAGAATTTAAGTGCTTCTACTTGTCTTCTTTTTAAAAAAAAAAAAAAGTTATCTGTACAAAGTATTTTCAGGTTCCCCAAATCCTAGAGATTTCAAAACCACAACAGCCACAATTAAGATATACAGTTAACATTTTACAAAGGTACTTTTAAGTGTACATGGAAAAAAAAAATACTCAATTCCATGACTCAAAATGTGAAAAATCAAAAGTTAACTGAACATAGATGCTTTATTCATGCAATGAGGGTTTAAAAATAATGGGGAAATAGTCCTAACAAATACAATGTAGATTTCAGCGTGTGTGACAGTTTGATTTCCTATTCTCTTGCTGCTAAGCTATTAACTTCTAAGTAAATTCAAAGTGGATTTTCTAAGTTAAAAGAGCAATAGAAATAAATGTGCTGTCAAGCTAAAAGAATGCAAAGGTTGAGGGGCTCCTGGGTGGCTCAGTCGTTAAGCAGCTGCCTTCAGCTCAGGTCATGATCCCAGGGTCCTGGGATGGAGCCCTGCATTGGGCTCCCTGCTCAGTGGGAAGCCTGCTTCTCCCTCTCCCACTCCTCCTCCTTGTGTTCCCTCTCTCCCTGTCTCTCTCTCTGTCAAATAAATAAACAAAATCTTTTAAAAAAGAAAAAAGAATACAAAAAAAGATGAGTTTGAAGAAAAAAGTTACTAAAGTATTTATGTAACATCATTTTGAAGCCAAGAAAGGGGAGGAAATGCTCAGGCTTGAACAAGATTTAGGGGGTAGGAGATGTTAAGTCCCTGAAAACAAAAATGTCTTAGTGAACAATGAAACATTTGGTACATTTTAGACAGCAATTAATAACTCTATAACGAGATCATTTTCAAGGGAATTCCTAGATCTATAAACATTCTGTTGTTTTGTTTTCAGAAGAATGATGTGATATCTGGAATTTGATTCAGAAATCAGTACAGTGTAGGTAATAGTGAAACAAGTTTGGCAATGTATTGATCACTGTTGAAGCTGGGTGATGAAAATCATGGGGTTCAATTATATTATCTCTATACTTTTGTATATACTTAAATTTACCCTATTAAAAAGTTTAACAAACAACCATAATGTAAACTTTTATTTAAAGAATTCAAAGTTTCCTCATTTCATCTTTTCAAATATTACTAGATTATCTGATCATCAAAATTAATTCTTCTGAGTACCAATAAAAAGGTTTTTCCCCCTAGATTTTTCTCTGTTGTAACACTGAGCAAACAGACTATGGGGAAAGGGAAGACTTTCAGAGAATTACATACAATAATTAAGCAATGGTGCTAATAAATCCAAGTCACTAAAACTTTGACATAAAGCTTAAAGGCAAATTGAAAAAAGCAAGTAGGGTAGTGAAGTAATGTCACCTACCTTCCACAGTGGACACTTGAACAAGTCAAACAGACCCAGGGGCTTTTGTTGGAGCGGCACACTAATAAAAAGAAAAATACACAATATACCAATTGTATCGTGTTACTTCCCAGTTTCTACCCTAATCTGTAATATCATATCCTGTGATTAAGTTATAAATTCCACAGCTGCTTAGGTGTACTGAAATCACGAATCCCTGCTTTGTGAGTGCATTTACACAGAAAGGCTGCCTAATTAAAGTTATATTAAAAGAACTGAAATGCATTTCCACAACGGCTGCTCATTTTAATTGTTGACTCAACTCAAATACTTCAACCACAAGTTAAACACATATACACTTTTTTCTTTTATTACTTATTTCTTTTTGCCATGGTCTCCAACAAGCTAATGACAGTCTATTTTCTCTTAAACACATTTTTTAAGTCTAATTTTTTAATTAGATTATATACTACTATAAATGACAACTCTTTCAGTTTACTTAATGAGAGGCATAACCTAAAGATACAATTAGGAAGACTAAATCCAGTTCTTCCCAAATTTATGTCTTGCTTGCATGAAATACAATTCTAATTTTGACAACTGCATTTAATTCTTGCTGAGGATATAACCAAGACATTAATTATTTTAGTTTTAGTATTACAGGGATGAGGCAGGTAAGAAAGGAATGAAAACTTTAAAAATATTGATTATAATTCTGCTTGCAGTTTACTCATTCAACCTAAAAAAAAAAAAAGCCCAATAAATGTAGGAATGATTTTCAAAAGGGAAGGGACATAAAAATCACCTGAAAAGCTATTTCAAAACGGGTATGTTCTACTCAGGCAAGATATCTACATTGGGATCGGGACAGAGGACAAAGAACATATGTATTTTGGGAAAAGTAGCTTCCCCAGTGACTACCTAATACAACCCCCTAAGAACCACAAGTCCACATATGAGGGGTATGGGAGAGGCACCACAACACAACCATAAATTCAGGAGTATAATAAATTCACTACCTGGCATGTATTATGTGCTCAATAAACATTTATTGAAATTTCAAATTTCCTAGTTTCCTAGTTTAAGACACCAAGCTCTTCCAAGTTCTGGTCCCTACTATACTGCTCTTGCCTTACAGGCCTTTCTCCCTGTAAGAAAAATTAACCAAAACTGGAAATAAGGTTCATCAAGAACTCTAAGCCCTTTTAATGTATAATGTATAATGAAACATTGTTTAATAGGTCCTCCCAAATATATTTAATTATAGATTGAGCTGCTGCTTACTTTTGATTAGGAGCCAAATTCTATGAAGTTAATAGGTTTTTTTTTACAGATTTTTATTTGGTAGAGATAATATCTCTCCAGCACCCTCCAAAGGTAATTGTTTTACCACCCAGTAGGACATTAACCAATTTCATATTGAGTTTATTTATTTCAATATTCTTTCTTCAATTCCTGCACTCACTCAATTCCTCAAATGCTTTTAGAATCAGCTTTACCATCCTGCTGGTATTCTCATTAATGAGTTAAATAAATCTCTGACATACGTTCATTCTGTATTTGTCTGGGAGGGAAGAGGTGGGCAAGGAAGACTAGGAAAGCACAATAATACACAGCCCAAGGGATGCTGCCTGTCTGGCCAGTGAAGGGCCCTATTTTTTTTTTTAATATTTTATTTATTTATTTTGACAGAGGGGTCACAAGTAGGCAGAGAGGCAGGCAGAGAGAGAGAGAGGGAAGCAGGCTCTCTGCCGAGCAGAGAGCCCAATGTGGGGCTCGATCCCAGGACTCTGGGATCATGACCCGAGCCGAAGGCAGAGGCTTTAACCCACTGAGCCACCCAGGCACCCCCCTAACTATTTTTGAATACGAAAATTGCATGGTAAAATTCCTTTCTGGCAAGCAAGGGTCCTACCTGCCCTTAGTGCATTCACACATTTACATTAACTGCCAGAGTCATCCTGAAGGCATTTGAGTTTTTTACTCAATTGGGTCCAATTTTATTATATTTGCATGTAAGCTACATGACTGAAAGGCCAAGAATACCTTCCAAACTGCTAACAACAATTATTATAGGCAGGTACAAGAAAAGACCATATGTGAGAGGAGACTGCTGGCTTTTTATTTGTACACCCCTGTGGTATTTGACTTATACTAACAAGAATGTGATTTTTTTACAAAGGAGCACAGGGGAAGGGAGGGAAAAATAAAACAAGACAAAATCACAGAGGGAGACAAAACATAGGAGACTCTTAGTCATAGGAAACAAACTAAAGATTGCAGGTGGGGGACATTAAGGAGTACATGTGATTAATGAGAACTGGGTATTATAAAAGATTATGAATCACTGACATCTACCTCTGAAACCAGTAATACATTATATGTTAATTAATTGAATTAATGAATTGAATTAAAAGTTTTAAATATAATGTTTTATAGTTTAAAAATAAAGTTCCATAAAGTATATTTTAAAAAATAAATTAAAACACAGTTTACTTGAAATAGGTGTTCACGGTTTGAGATAATTTGGAGGACTGAAAAACTAAGAATATTATTGTTTTGTTCCTCCAACAAATCTTTTTTTCTCTTAGTAAATACTAAGAAATGCCATAACTCAATCTGGAAAAAAAAAAAAAGCTGTTGAAGTTTAATATTAATCTGAAATAAAAAATTATGTTACAATAGTAAGTTTAGGTTCAAGTTTTTAACTATCTAGAGTTTGTTTTCATTTTAATTATGGAAGATATTTTTCCTCCTTTAAATGAGAAAAAGAAAATCTAGAGCAAAATCACTACTACTTTGGTGTGTTTTCTACCAAGTGTTCCTTTATTCCCCCTTATAGTTGGAAAAATACAACACATACCACATACAATCTCATGATCTAATTTCTCCACTGTCAATATATTATTTTTTAAAAGATTTTATTTACTTATTTATTTGAAATAGAGGAAAAGAGAGAGCAAGCACTAGTGGGGGGCAGAGAAAGAGGGAAGAGAATCTTCACTGAGCAGAGAGCCCAATGCAGCTAGATGCTAAGCTCAATCCCACGATCCCAAGATCATGACCTGAGCTGAAGGCAGATGTTTAATCAACTGAGCCACCTAGGAGTCCCTCCACTGTCCGTATATTAAATGCATTTCTGCATGTTATTGAATTTAGAACAGTGTACTCTATATTTAGTCTTATAATATCTCAATTACCTCAAAAAATTTGATTAATTTTTAATTTCTCAATTTCAAATTTTAAAATGGCACCATGAGGCTGAGGGGAGAAAAAATTGGGGAATAACGGCTTGATAGGTACAGAGTTTATTTTGGGATGATGAAAGTGTCTTACAACTAGACAGAGGTGGTTGTAGATGTACTAAATGCCACTGAACTGTCCACTTGAAAATGGTTAATTTTATGTTTTGTATTGTACTTTAATAAAAAAAAGTAGTTAAATGAACAGGTACTTTAGACAGGCATGAGGAAAGATAGTAAAAGGGAAAAAGTACTGACTTTTAAAAACATGTAAACAAGTGACTGCGCTTTTTAGTAAATCTCAAAAGTTCCCTTTCTGAGTTAAGAAACTGGACTTCTTCTATCATGAATATTTATAATAAGAAAGTTAAAAATATGTGATAGGACAGTTGGTCTTGACTATTTAAATTATAGTACTTTCTGAGAGCTTAATACTTTTAACACCAGAAAGACATGTGAAAGCTAAAAAGCTACAAAGAATAGGGTATGAGGAGGCATTCTGAAGCCACTTAATTGCACTGCATTGGGGAATATTCACCTTATTCAAATTAAGAGCCTTTCATGTACTCAAAACAATATAAAATAGGAAGAAAAATATTGGCTTTATTCAATTGTTGTTAATATTCAATTATTGTTAAGAACAGAACAGGGCAGGGTGCCTGGGTGGCTCAGTGGGTTAAGCCTCTGCCTTCAGCTCAGGTCATGATCTCAGGGTCCTGGGATTGAGCCCCACATTGGACTCTCTGCTCAGCGGGGAGCCTGTTTCCCCCTCTCTCTCTGCCTGCCTCTCTGCCTACTTGTGATCCCTCTCTGTCAAATAAATAAATAAAATCTTAAAGAAAAAAAAAGAACAGAACAGGACATAACATGAATAAAAGAATATCATAAATAATCTTAAAATTATTCATTTTATCACCTAAGGGGCACTCTCTTATAAAAGGTAGCCTCAATTTATAGGAAGATGAGTTTCAAAGGTTTATCTGTAGGATGAACATATTTCCCATGGAAACAGCATTAGAGGTTTCCAGGCTCTGCTATAAAACTCTATGTGAACTGTAACGTAACTAACTAAAATGTATAGCTGACCCTGGAACAATGGAGGGGTTAGGAGTCCCAACCCCCGCAGAGTTAAAAATCCACATATAACTTCTGACTCCCCAAAAACTCAACTACTAATAGCCTGTTGTTGACCAGAAGATTTACTGATAACATAAACAGTCCATTAATACATATTTTGTATGTTATATGTATTAGATACCATATTCTTAGAATACCGTAAGCTAGAGAAAAGAATGTATTAGGAAAATCCTAAGGAAAAGAAAATACATTTACAGTATTGCACTATATTAATTGAAAAAAATCCACATATAAGTAGACCCATATAGTTCAAACCTGTATTGATTAAGGGTCAACTGTGTATATATATTTTTTAAAAACCACACATGGTCAATAAAAATGTTTTTAAGCTTTCCAGTAAAATATAAAAATATTAAGCTGAAGGGTTTTTGGTTTTTTTTTAATGTTAAATGTTAGAACTTGACAGAAAGAATTACAAGGATGGGAACTTAGAGAAGTTCAAAAAGATAAGTCTAGGGGCACCAGGGTGTCTCAGTCATTAACCGTCTGCCTTCAGCTCAGGTCATGATCCCAGGGTCCTAGGATCGAGCCCTGCATTGGGCTTCCTGCTCAGTGGGAAGCCTGCTTCTCCTTCTCCCACTCCCCCTGCTTGTGTTCCTTCTCTCTCTCTCTCTCTCTCTCTGTCAAATAAATAAATAAAATCTTTAAAGAAAAAAAGGTAAGTCTAAGAACTTATTAGGGCTCTTTTTATTAGAACTAATCA